GCCCACACCTGCTGCCCGCGCCCACACCTGCTGCCCGCGCCCCCAGGACTGCTGTGCTTGCTGCTGGGCCTGCTCATGGCGGTGGCCCACAGGATGCAGCCTCACCGGCTGAAGGCCTTCTTCAACCAGAGCTTGGAGGACCCCACACTCGAGTGGAGTGCTGAGGAAGGCGAGCTCCTGACTCCTCGCTACCGGCCCATGTCCTGTAGCCCTGAGCCCGGGGACATTCCCCTGTCACGGGCTTCCTCAGAGACCTGCAGTCGGGAGGAGCACCCCTGAGAGCCCGACTGTGCCCGGTGATGCCCCTGTCCTGGTGGGTGGCACCTTGTTGAGTCGCAGGAAGGCACCTAGCATGGCTGCAGCAGACCCTCAGCTCCCAGGAGAGTTAAAGGCAGCGCCACCTACCGAAGCCAATGAGAACAAACCCCGAAGCCTCAGCCCTGGAACCTGGTTGCTATGGTGATAGCAAGCCTAGCCCCTATTTCTGCCCAGCGTCCTTGTCTTTCCAGGGTGCTGGGCCTCCTCTGGGTGCCCTTTGCTGAAACCCCGCCTTCCCATACATATGGCACAGTGAGATATTCCCTTGGGCCTCAGCCCTCACAGCTCCCGGACAGTGCATATGCGTGCGTGTGTGTGTGTGTGTGTGTGTGTGTGTGTGTGTCTACGCATGCGCACGTATGTGTCTTCTCCATCTGCACTGGAAGGAGGCCACCAGACATCTCATCCCAGCTCAGCATTAACCGGCCATGTCACATCCTCTGTGGTCTTTAGGTCCCAGGTATATGCAATAAGACTAGGATTTGCCAAGGACTTTTAAGAAAATAAACTCTCTGGATTTATACTTTTATGCCTTGCTGACATCCACCTCAGCCCTCAGACACCACTGCAAAAGAAGGCAGCTGGGAAGTTAGTGAACCGGCTCTAAACCTCCTTCCTTCCCAGTCCATTCGGTAGAGTGGCCGAGGTGACCCAGAGGGAGGGAGGTGACCCGCCTGGACCCTGTGTTCAGGGGCTGCTCAGGGTCGTTTCCACCACGGCGTCACTAGAGGGCGCTCTTCAAGCCTTTCTGGGTTTCGGATTTCTCCCGGGCAGGAATCGGGTTAAGACGCCAAAAACCGCTGTCCCATCCCAGAGAAGCCTTCCGAAGACTTGCGTCACCAAGAACCCCGAGAAACCATGGCAATTAATGGGCGGGGGAGTTTTTAAAAACAAAAGAAAAAAGTTTATTTACAGCTCTCGCGCTTGGAGCGCACCGCGCCTGTCCTCGCAGCCAGTCCCGGGTGCCGCATCCTGGAGCCCCTCGGGGTCCCCCGCCCACTGTCCGCCAGCGCGCGAAGTCCGCAGTGGGGCAGAGTCCAGGGGTGGGTGCCCTTCAAAGTTTAGTGGTGATCTTCGAGTCCGGGGGTGCGAACTGCTGATTCAGTGGGTTGCTGAGGATAAGAGACGAGCCCGCCCTCGCCTGGGTGCCACAGTCCGGGGAGCTCTGGTCCAGCACGGCGCGAAGGCCGCTGGGCCAGGCGTAGTGGAGAAGCACCACGGCCCCTCCGAGCAGCAGGCACAGGATGCCTGCAGGGAAAGAAAGCAGGGCGAGCGATCAGGGCTCCGGGCCTGCCCCTCGGTCTTCTGGAGGCTTCCGCTCAAGAGTTACCGCCCCAACTCTCCTCCCACGCGCACGCTTGCTACAGAAAGACCTCTAATGTGGACTGCAGAATATGCGCTTACTCAGCCAGCGGGGCCGGCCGCCGGTCGCTTCAGAGTCCCCTTTATCTATGAGATGGGCAGAACAGTGCTCCTCACCGGGGCGTGATGGTGCACGCCTGGAATCCCAGCGCTCGGGAGGCTGAGGCGGGAGGATCGCGGCGATAGCCCGCACTACCTAGCGCGTCCCTGCCTCAAATACCGAAGCAACCCAAACTAAACAACCCAAAGCCACTGCGCTTCTGTCCTCCGAACTACCGAAGTGTCCGTGATCACGTTGTGGACGGGAAAGCGCGCGCCGAGCCGGATTCTCACCCGTAGCCAGCGTGAGCCAGAAGGCGGCTCCGTAGCCAGGCGTGAGCGCGGCGGAGCCGAGGCGGAACTGGCACCAGGGCACGCTGGAGACCGAAGCGAAGGAGAAGACGGCGAAGAGCGCGAAGGAGCCGGTGACCAGGAGCGCCAGGCCGCCGTAGAGCGGGGCGGGCATGGACAGCAGCGCGTTGGAGAGGACCCAGAAGCAGAACGCCACCCTGCGGGGCCGCGAGGTGGGCGTGAGCCGGGCGCCCTCAGCCACAGGGTCTGAGACAAGAGGGGACGCCGCAGGGTCCCAAGCGCCCGCCACCCCGCGGCGCCGAAGCGCTGCCCGCCCGCCCGCCCTGCACAGCCCGCCCGGCGCCCCGCGCTCACCACAGCGTGGCGGCCGCGTAGTGTCCCGCCAGCTGGTACTGGCGGTACAGCCCGCAGGGGCTGCCGGGCGTGAACTTCTCGGCCAGGTACAGCACCGGGTCGGGCAGCCCCCTCTCCAGCGCGCGCACGTACTCGCGGTGGTAATCTTCGTCCAGGCGCCAGGTGAACTGCTCGTTATAGTCGATGGTCTCGTTCAGCTGCTGCACTGGGGTTCCTGCGGGGAAGCGGGGCTCTTGAGGTCCCGAGTACGAGGCCAGCACCTCGGAAACCTAGTCGTTTCGGATAGGAGAAGTGGGGCGGGGACAGTTTGGCGGCAGTGCCTTTGAAGCCGAGTCACGAGAAGTGTCCCCCAGCTCCCCAGAAATTCGCTCGCTCCTCCTCACCTCTTAACGTGATATTAAAGCCCACCAGGCCCACGTTCAGGCCGACGCGGGCTCGAACACGCTCGGCACTGAAGGCTTTGTAGGACGTGTTGGTCCACACGCTGCCCACGAACCACTCCCCACTGAAGTGCACGGCTGTAGGGGGAAGGCACGCAGTGAAGACGGCTTTGGCAAAAGGGATTGGAGAGGTGCAGAGTGCAGGGAAGGCAGCCAGGGACGCACTGCGCTTGCGTGGTAAGGGCGGAAGCGGGGCCACTAGCCAGAGCAGCAAGCAAAGGGAAAGGTAGCAACAAAACAATCCGGGCTTCCCATTTTCCCAGGCGCCCCTGCCCACCTCCTCCCGTACCCTACTTCCTCCCGGGGTGCACGACACACTCACCCACAATTTCTCCCCCTATGAACAGACTGAGCAGCACTCTGACCAACCAGAACCAGCGCTGCAGGAAAAGCCACTGGGTCAGGCTGGGACCTCCCTTGACCCCACTCCACCTCAAGCTGATTGCATTCCTGACCTTTTGAGGCTGATGTCGGGTGTGTTTGTCCTGCAAGTTCCCTGAGCCACTGACATTTCTGATGTTTTCTGATCCTGTGTTTCTACCTCCCCCCCTCATTTGCATATCCACCCTGCCGGGCAAACTCCCCCCACCATCCCTCCTCTAGCTTCCTGGTGCCTGCCCCGCCCCCTCCTACTCTGTTCTCTGCCTCAATGAGTCTACAAGTGCCAGGGAGGCAAGGGTCACTTCCCTCAGAAGAGCGAGGCCGAGTAGAGGCAAGGTGGAAATGCTGGTAGGCTTAGCTGCACCCGTTCCCTAGGAAACCAACAAAGATCAAGGCTTGGGGTCCTGGGAGGCCCTGTACACTCATCAAGCCAACACCAAGGGGACAGCAATCTGGCATTTGTTCCTGTCACCGTGGTCAGCGTGCAGAGGGCAGGACAAGAATACAGCTGCAGTCCTGAGGGAAGCAGGAGGCCTCTGCAGCGCAGGATTACCTGGCTGGTGCCCCTTCTGCTGCAGTCTCTCATTATTCACTGGAGGTCCCTCTCCAGGCTGTCTAGGATGAAGGCTGTGCTCACTGACCATGGGAAGGGGGAGAACTTCGAATTTGCCCCCCCCCCCCGACCTTCAGTTTGACTGTTCTCAGAGAGAAGCTTCCTCATCTGACCTGGAGACGGCTGCCCATCATGCCTACGCCATGCTCGGAGCTTCTAGCATCCCCTTACCGAGTGGCCCCGGATCCCGGGCAGGATGAGCAGGAAGCTTGCAGCCAGGGCGCAGAACACCACGATGACGATGAGCAGCGGGACGCTGAAGCCCGCCGCATGCTGGGTCTGGGGGTAAAAGGGCAGCACGCCATTCCACAGTGTCATCCTGCTGCAGATCCAGCGCCTCACAGGAGCAAATTGGGTTCCCCGCTGAGCACGGTGATTGAGTCTGTGAACTAAGGAAGTACTCAGAGTCTGGCTGTCCTGACACGCTCTGAGCTGAGCCAGCAAGCAGAATTATTTCTCAGTGGTTGTGGCCCAGCTGCTTTCTGGGCTGTGCCCGCTCCAGAGGGACCCAAACCCCTTATATAGGCTCAGGAGCAGCATGTAGTTGTTGTCCCAGCCAAACCCCAGGGTCACAGCCTGGCAGAGGTCATGCAAATGAAGGGTGGGTAATATGCAAATTAGGGTCCACCTCTATCGCGGGAGGGAAGCCCGAGGTGTAGATATTCACACCTACCGCCTGTCTGCCAGAGGCGGTACCCATGCACCAGGGAGACTGGGCACCCTGGAAGAAGGTGACAGTGCAACTGGGAGAGCTGAGGATCTAGGACTGGACTAGAGGCAAGAACCAGAGCAGAGAAGCAAAGATAACAAGAAAAGAGGCTCGACTACTGAGGCGGGACCAGAGTTTGGGACCTGACCTTCCCAAGCCTTGCCCTTTCTGCATAGGTGCTCCCTGATAGGGGTGAGTGGACCGCGGGTGCAGGCTTGGGGCTCACCGATCTCTTTCCTACTGTCACCTCCTGGAGAAGCAGTGTAGGGATGATTGGCGTGGGGGGGGGGTTCCAGAGTTTTGGGCCAGCACTTGAGAGATTCGGCCGGGGACTGAAGTGTCCCAAAGAGTACAGTGGTTGAAGTTAGTACTCTATGGGGCAAAGGGTGGAAACTGCCTCAGCGGAGCAGGAAAGAGCGGCGCGTGGATGCGGGGCCTCATAGACGCTTCTGTTTTACTCCGGAAGTGCAAACTACTGGCTTGCCTCCACTGCCCGCTCTAGGGGAGTCACTGTCCCTCACCTCCCACTTCTAGGCTCCTGGGTCAGCATGCTACGAGCAAGACCAGAGGCACTGGTGCTCCTAGTGGTGCTGCTCACTGGGCCCCTGCGCCTAGCGGGTAAGTAGCAGATACCCCTAGCCGTGGGGTACCACCCAGTGTCTCCTGGGAGAGTGGGAGGAGAGGGGCTCCCTGAAGCTGCTAGGTGAGATCTCCGCGCAGGTAAGCACAATGGGAAACTTTCCTGGGCAACTTTGACACTGCGCAGGTATTGTTACTGGGCTCTGGCGCTTGTGATAGGGACCGGCGTGTGGAGGGGGAGGGAGGTGCAGAGGGGATGTTGGCGCTCTGTGTCCACAGGTGGTCAGGACGCACTCCCGCTGCCCTGGGAAGTACAGCGCTACGACGGCTGGTTCAACAATCTTAGGCATCATGAGCGTGGCGCTGTGGGTACGCGTGTTCCTCAGACCCCTCGGGCAGAACTGGGGAGGTGGGCGCACGCGACCCGCAGCTCAACTCCCAGGGGGCCGCGCTCTTCCGCACCCCTGGGGCCGGGTTGGGTGAAAGCTGGATGTAGAGAGAGGCGGCCGGTTAGGCGTGGGGCTTCTTGGGATCCAGCGCCGAGGGAACCCGGCTCTCTGCTGTCCGCAGGCTCGAGGCTGCAGCGCCTGGTGCCGGCCAGCTACGCGGACGGCGTGTACCAGGCCCTGGAGGAGCCTCTGTTGCCCAACCCGCGCGGGATCAGCAACGCCGCCACTCAGGGCCGCTCCGGGCTGGCCTCGCTGCGCAACCGCACAGTGTTGGGCGTCTTCTTCGGTGAGCGCAAAGCAGCAGCCCACTGGGGTGGAGCTGGGGGGCACCTTTGGTGCGAGAAAAAGGGGCCATTCAGTCTAGGTGGTGCTCTGCCCATCGTTTGGAGTCGGGGTTCCCAAGCCTCTCCCTCCCCCCTCCCGTAGCATTTCAAGCCCGCTCTCATCTCGGAAGGATTTGGGGTGTTGGTGCAGGAATATTCTTTACTGTACTTCAACCCCAAGGGCACACCGGACCCATTTTGGTTCTTGTGGACCGAGTTTCCCGCTGTGTCCTCCCAATGAGATTTTTTAACCCCTTTGCCCCACGGAGGGAGGAACCAGATGGGTGAACCCTTGTTTATACCATTTTTTCCCTCGTAACTACTTTATGAGGATGAGAGGATATTATATTCTCATTTTGTATATTATAAA